AATGCTGGAACTGGGTTGATAGGTACAGGGGAGATGTTCATTTTACTATTCTCTTTAATTTTAACGTTCTTTACAAGAGAAAGCTATACCAAATTGAAACAGGTGATTGTTGGAAACCTTGAAAATCTTCTGGACCAAATGTTTTCTTTCCTTATTTATGGGATAGGTTTAGTGTTCTTCATAAGTTATCATTCAAACTCTAAATAAAACATTAGCCATTTCTAAAGGTATATCTGATTCTGTTCACAGGAACTCCTGCAGTTCCATCCATCTTTGCAGTGGGATGGCACGAATACACATTGAACACACTCTTCGATTTTCCTAACCATACAGTACCTTTCTTTCTTTAGGCATTTCAAAATGGTAATAACTTCAAATATCTGTATATATCTTATGCAGTCACTACAGGCATTAATTTGGAGTCAACTCTTTTTTTTTTTTTTTGGAGAGGTTTTGGCTATAGGGCGCATGCGCTCGCCAGACAGACAGAGAGAGACATAGAGACAGAAAGCGAGAAATCACGCTGCAATCCCTTCTCCTCCATTCTCCTCTTGGGATCCTGGGCATGTACACACACGCATCCGGCGTGAGTTTTAAGCCACCGGGTCCGGGACGCGAACCACGGTTGACTACGTGGGAGTCCAGCAACATAGCCATTACGCTAACTGCTGGTTCCCGTGGAGTCAACTCTTGTGAAATGTTTGGAACAATTGCTATTGGAGAGTGAACCATGAAACACACAGCTGATTGATTAGTCCTTACTTTAGGTCTTTGGTGTTAAATCAGGGCACTTTGCCTGCAAGAGACATTGGCTATGTCAGCTGGTTTCAGTTGTCGCAACTCAGGGTGCTCACTATTTCCTACAGTGCTCAGGATGGCCCCCAACAACAAAACATTATCACTAGAGAGGGAGGGAAAATGAGAATTCACCCCTAAAGGGAAATGGCCACAACACAGTCGCCTCACCTTCATTCTCGGGACCTGGGTATGCATGTACATATGCCGGGTGTGACCCTCAAGTCCTCAAGTCTAGGACTTGAGCTGTGGTCATCCATGTGGGAGTCTAGAGCTCCAGCTGCCACCTGCTGGCTCCTCGTTGATGTACACTTTTAAAAATTGTTCTGAAAATATGCCTTCAGTTTTTATTGAGATTTGATATACACAACAAAAGCTGCCTGCCACCTCCCCTACCCCCGCCCCCCAAGTCCTTCAACAAATTGCTTATAGAATTAAGTGCTGGGAACGTTGTCATTTTCCTGACGAAGTTATATATTTCTTTGTAACTTGTTATATTTCTACTTGCTTTCTCTCCCAGAAAACATAGAACCAAAATTTGTGCCGTATTATAGCAGCTTTCCTTTACTTAGGCCTCTAGTTGTGCTCTCGTCTTCTCTGTGGTATTTGGCTTCTTTTTAATCTCACTGTGGTTGACTATAGCCTTGGGCTGTGTATGATTTGTGAACATACAGATAATAAATTAATATATTCAGTCCTTAGAGCCATAGTTGTATAAATCAGATAAACAGATTAGTAATTTATATGTTAATGCTTTTTGAGGAATGTCAAATCTTAAAACAATGAAAAAATATGTGTTTGTTATAAAATATTATTATATATTAATTAGCACAAATAAGTAGATGTTGTGTGCTCCTTTTCATTCTCCAGGAATTTATTACTATTTCTAGGATAGAAATTTAAAGTTAAAATTCCCATTTGCTATGATCTTACAATTCTGTTATGTTGGTCAGGCATGCATTCTTATGGTTTCGTATTTGAATAAATTGGGTAAACTAAGTATATTTTTAAAAAGTGAATACTAAAAAAACAGTGTCTCTTGAGAATTATATTCTCTGAAAAATATTTTGAAATTTATTTGACAAAGACTAGTTTCATAAAAGTTCCTTATTTTTGTTTTAAAAAAATGAAATAAATATGAAATATTTGTTTCCTGTTCCATAAGAGTAATGATCTAGGATGACTCATTACATTTTATTCAAAATATGATTAATTTTTATTTTTTTGAAATTAAAACTTAAGTAGTTGGGCTGGGTCCATGGCTAGGTGATTAAGAGTACCAGATCCCATGTAGCCATCACTGATTTTTTTTTTTTTTTTGAGAGGTTTTTGCTATAGGGTGCATGCGCTCACCAGAAAGAAAGAGACAGAAAGCAAGAAATCACTCCGTAGGAGGGATGGCCATGCTGCAATCCCTTCTCCATTCTCCTCTCGGGATCTTGGACATGTACTCACATGCACCTGGCATGAGTTTAAGCCACCAGGGCCGGGACTCAGACCACGGTCGACTACATGAGAGTCCATTGGCATAGCCATTATGCCAACTGCTGGTTCTCATTACTGATTCTTAAAATACATATTTGTTGGGGCCAGCAGGTGGTTAAGGGTGCTGGACTCGCACATGACCCACCGCTGTTCAAGTCCCAGAACTGGCAGCTCGCTTTGTTACTTGCTTGCTCTTGCTCTCGCTCTGTCCCTCTGTGATCAAATTTAAATAAATAAATGAAAGTTAAATAAAGTAAATCTTTAAAAAAAAGTAACAGTGCTTATCTTACTTTGTGTAAGTAAAGCCTGATGATTATATTCTATTTCATTTGAGATCATTGATGCTTGTATATCACTAAATTACAACTTGCAGTTAAAAAAAATGCTCATTTAGTGTGTTAATTATCTGTGTATTTTGAGGAATCTACTCTTTCCTTATAAAAATACATGATCGTTCTGTACTAAATTATGTCTTATGTTAGCACTTAATAAATATAAATAAATTAATGGAATATTTTACAAGTATCATGCCATAATGAAATAGAAGCAACTTTGCCAAGGTAAAGTTAAGTTTTGCTATCAAGAATGACTCTTTCTTTCTTTTTTTTTTGAGAGAGATTTTTGCTATAGGGCATGTGTGCTTGCTGGAGAGACTCAAAGCAAGAAAGCAAGAAATCACCTGCCAGTGGGATGGCCACTTCACAATCCCTTCTCCTCCATTCTCCTCTTGGGATCTTGGGCACGCATGCACATGAGCCAGGTGTGAGTTTGAAGCCACTGGTCCTGCACGGGAACCGTGGTCTGCTATGTGAGAGTCCTGCACCTTAACCACTATTACACCTGCTGGCCCCAGTGACTCTCTTGTTTTTAAGAGAAATTTTTTTGCTATAAGGCACGTGTGCTCACTGAGGGGGAGAGAGAGAGAGGCAAAGTGAGAAATCATCTCCTAGGAGAGATGGAGATGCTGTAATTCTTTCTCCTCCATTCTCCTCTCCAGATTTTGGGCTCGCATGCACATGCGCCTGGCATGAGTTTTAAGCTGTCTGGTCCAGGTCTCAACTCGCAGTTGGCCTTGTGGGAGTCCAGTGATGAAACCACTACACTATCTGCTGGTATCATGACTCTTCGTTTTTTTTTTTTTTTAAGAATTATTTTATTTCACTTTATTTATTTTAATTTGACCAGAGAGGGACAGAGCGAGAGAGTGAGAGTAATAGAAAGAGAAAGCCAGAAAGCAAGCCGCCAGGTCCGGGACTTGAACCACGGTCAGCCATGTGGGAGTCTAGCGCCTCTAACCACCATACCACCTGCTGACCCCATGACTCTTCATTTTTAACATTGTATTTATATTTTAGTCCTCTCTCTTTGAAATAAAAAGATGTTTAAACCCTATTAGAACTGGTCGGTTATTTAATTAATCAAGTTTTTAAGGTTTTTGCAGTAGAGTATGTACAGTCACTGGAGAGACAGTAAGAGGGAAAGTGAGAAATCATCTCCTGGGGGGAATGTCCAAGCTGCAGTCCCTTCTTCTCCATTCTCCTGGGATTTTGGGCATGTATGCACATGTGCTCAAAGTGTTTCAAGCTGCTGGACCTATATGACTTGAACTGCAGTTAACCATGTGGGAGTCCAGTGCCTTAATCACCATACCACTTTCTGACCCCTGGTAGGTTATTTTAAAATGTAAACCAGGGGACCAGCAGTTAGCGTAATGGCTATGTCGCAGGACTCCCATGTAGTCGATTAAGGTTTGCGTCCCGCACCCGGTGGCTTAAAACTCACGCCGGGCATGTGTGTGTATGTGCCCAAGATCCCGAGAGGAGAATGGAGGAGAAGGGATTGCGGCGTGGCCATCCCCCCTGGGGGGCGATTTCTCGCTTTCTGTCTCTCTGTCTCTGTCTTTCTGGTGAGTGTACGCACCCGATAGCAAAAAATCTCTCCAAAAGAAAAAGTAAACCAGCTTGGGACCAGCAGTGGCATAATGGCTATGTCGCTGGACTCCCATGTAGTCGACCGTGGTTCAAGTCCCGGGCTCAGGCTAGGCGCGTGTGCGTGCACACTCAAGATCCCAAGAGGAGAATGGAGGAGAAGGGATTGCGGCGTGGCCATCCACCCAGAAGGTGATTTCTTGCTTTCTCTCTGTCTTTCTGGCGTGCACACGCGCCTATAGCAAAAACTTCTCTAAAAAATTTATGTAAACCAACTTAATCAATGGGGCTTCTTGGTCATTCTATTAGGGTAAGTCTAAATGGAGAGGAAAAATTAGCAGAGGAGGGGAGGCTTTTTCTCTTTAGAGGCCAGGAATGTGTTAAGATTTGTGGACCTTAAGGTCTCTGTTGTGACTACCCGTAACCCTGCCTTTAAGGTGTAAAAGTAGTCATAGACAAATAAGTGAGCCAGTGTGATTGTGTTCTGATAAACATTAAATGTCGTGATTTTACATCAAGACATTATTCTTCTAATTTTTTTTTCAACCATTAAAAATTTAAACGCCACTCTTGGCTTGTGGGCTGAGAAATCAGGTGGTGGCCAGATTTGCACTGTGGACCATCGTTTGTGTTAGGCTAAAAGAGAAAAAGTCTCAGCAGTACCGAAAGAAAATTTAGCAAATACAGTTGAAAACATGAATTAGCAGTGTTAAATCTCTGCGTGTTCATATTTCAATTTTTCTGGACATCAGCTATACATTATTGTGTTGTGTTTTTTATATTATTTTACAGACAGTTGATATTCATAAAGAGAAAGTGGCAAGAAGAGAAATTGGTATTTTGACTACCAATAAAAACACTTCAAGGACACACAAGATTATTGCTCCTGCAAACCTCGAACGCCCAGTTCGTTATATTAGGAAACCTATTGACTATACAATTCTAGATGATATTGGACATGGAGTAAAGGTAGGTATAATTTTTGTTAAGCTTTTAAAACCAGTAACCTGTAATGGAACTAATTCTAGGAAATTAAGCTCTTATCTTTCTTTTTCTAGAGGACCAAGTTTTGGCTCAGTTGTGAAGATTCCTTGCCACTGTAACTGTTTTATCCTTGATTTTTCATAATGCTGTGTTTTCAAACAGTCATCTTTGATTGCATTTGCTGAATCAATTATGATAATGCCTCGTATAGATTGAGTAAATAACTGTGGTATCTTTCTCATCTTTCAGTGTTGCGATATGACTGATTAAAAAATTGTTCAGCGTGTTATTAAAGTGTGTGCCTATCTCAAAAATGTATCAGACTTTTGGCATTAGTTTTCAGAACAACTTTTACCGATAAATGTACTTCGAATTTTTCTAGAATATTTTTATCTCAACATTTTGAGTTAGAGTAATATAAATAAAGTTTATATCTACATCTGTATAGATACAGATTTTTTTTCACTGCGTTTGAATATGTAGCCATTAAATATGTTGGCTATCTTTTAAGATGTATTTGAGTACCTAGCATATATATAAATTGCAATGTAGAACTGAGGAACCTGTAAATTTCATTTAAATTGATGTTTATAGCTGAGCAACTATTGAGAGTTCAGTAACTATTAAGTTACTTAAAATTTGCTTCTGATCAGTGATTCAAAACACAATGACCAAATATGTCTCTAAAAATACATGTAAACCTATAATGAAATAGTTTATGCAGCTGATTTTGTTAATGATAAAAGCATATTTTAATAAAAAATAACACCCACATTATTATGATAGGAAATCAGCTAAATCCAAATTTAATGTAGATGTATATAAAAGGAAAATGTATAGTGTTAGTTTATTTTTAAAATTTACTTTTTCCCCCTCAGAGTTTTGATATAAGCACTATTATCTGGAATTTGATACTTTATAATTGATACTTACATGTATTTAAATTACCATGTTAATTAGAGCATGTTAAAATAGGATGTATAATTGGATGTTTAATAAATAACTGAAGTTTATTCTAACTTGGGAAAATTTATTCAAAGCTAACAACTGCTAGTAGAATAGTTTTTAGGATACTGCCAGAATCTAATGCCAAAATGACATTTAGAATGTAAGACCTTTATATGCTTGCCTCCTTAAATAATAAAAAGGTAATTTCCTTCTAATTCTTATTTAATCCTCAACGTAAATAAAATGTTATTTTTTTTTTTAGGATCCTGTAGTCTCTTCATTGTTTGGAATCTTAGTATTTAAGAATTGCTAATTTGAAGAAATTTTTGACAAAAATAAGTTTTAAAATAGTGTGTTAAATAATTTCATCAAAGAAATTCCTGTTCATGACACATTCTGCTTTAACCACTCTTTCTATGATCTACTGAAACATTATTTTGTTGATGCTGAATGCTTAACTTGATTTTTCTTTGTTTTTTCCTTTCTCTTCACATCCTGAAGTTCCAACTAACCTTTCAATGCTTTTTTTCCTTACCTCTTTTATTTGCTCCATTTATGCATTAAGTGGTTGCTTAGATTTAAGGTAAGAGATTCCAGGGCTGGATTTCCATTCTTTGTTCTTATGTGGAATATTACATATGGGGAGTAAAGATATATCTGGCACTTGGCCTTTTAAACCCAACAAATAATTCCTTTCTTGTATTTTATTTTTTTGTCATTTAACTTTGTGATGTGTCTTCATGTTGAGGGCAAATATTTTTGTCTGTTTTGTTCACTGCACTATCCTTTGTGCCTAGAACAGTGCCTGACACACATTAGGTGCTTAGTAAATATTTGTTGACTGAATGGTTATTTTGCAGTGTTTATATTTTGTGAAAGCGAAATGTAAGCTATTTTATCGTAAAATGTTGTTACCAAATAAAACCAGCTGAGTTTTTATAAGTGAATAATTTGCGTTATGGATTGGAGGGCCAACTAATGTGCTTCGTTTAACCCTCCCCCTGTGTAATAGGCTTTTTATTCTATAAATGGTGTACTTTATTATGGACCTTGCAAATATGATGTCATTATCCTTTGACTTAATCAGTGTAAAGAAATTGAGAAGCAAAAAACATTTAGTATTGGGTTTTTCTTTAAGTTGCAGTATCATGTTTTGTAAGAAAAATGAAAACTTGTTTTTCCAAATAGTTGTAAAATACATATTCCAGTATAAACTCTTAAGAGTTTTCAAAGGTGAATATTAATTATATGCAAAAGTAAAAAACTCATAATAAAATGTAAGTTAGGAATTGAAGATATGAGGGACCAGCAGTTAGTGTAATGGCTATGTCGCTGGACTCCCATGTAGTCGACGGCGGTTCGAGTCCCGGACCCGGTGGCTTAAACTCACGCTGGGCGTGTGTGCGTGCGTGCCCAAGATCCTGAGAGGAGAAGGGATTGTGGCGTGGCCATTCCCCCTGGGGGGTGATTTCTCACTTTCTGTCTCTCTATGTCTTTCTGGCGAGCGCACACGCCCTATAGCAAAAACCTCTCCAAAAAAAAAAGATAACAAGATTAGCAGATGGAGTAACGGCTATATCACTGAATTCCCACGTGGTTGACCATCGTCCGAGTTCTAGACCCAGCAGCTTACGACTCATGCAGGGTGCGTGTGCACCCAAGATCCCAAGAGGAGAAGTGGAGGAGAAGGGATTGTGGTGTGGCCGTGTCCCCTGGGGTGTGATTTCTCACTTTGGGTCTCTCTATCACTGTCTCTCCTGCAAGCGCACGCACCCTTTAACAAAAATCTCTCTCAAAAAAAAAAAAAAAAAAGAAAAGAAAAGAAAAGAAAAAAATTAAAGGTAGTATGTCCTATTGTGATTTACTTCAGTAACATTTTGGTATTTTAGAGAATTAATGGTAAAAAGAAATTCTATATGAAGAAGCCTGTCAAGAGGGACCAGCAGTTAGCGTAATGGCTATGTCACTGGACTCCCATATAGTCAACTGTGATTCAAGTCCTGGACCTGGTGGCTTAAACTCACACCAGACGCATGTGCGTGCGTGCCCAAGATCCCAAGAGGAGAATGTAGGAGAAGGGATTACAGCATGTGTGTGTGGGGGTAATTTCTCCCTTTCTCTCTCTCTCTGTCTTTCTGGGGAGCACATACGCGCAATAGCAAAAACCTCTCCAAAAAAAAAAAAAAAAAAAAAAGATGAAAAGGAAAATGGAACTTAAAATTTAAAATGTACTTAAGGTTTAGTTCTTTTTCCTTCTGTTTTATGCTTATTTCTTCCTAAGCTCTTTTTAAGCTCTGTCTTTATTGCCATTGTTGTGGCACTTAAAAAATTTTTTTTCTGTAGGATATATGCACTTGCCTTCTGATGCTTTTCAGATGGACTCAGAACAAGGCCATTACTTTGGTATAGACACATGGGAGTTTGGAAGAGACCTTGTTTAAAAAAAGCATTTTTAATAATGCATGCTCTCTCCAGAAAGAGACAGAGAACCAGAAAGTGAGAAATCACCCCCCCAGGGAGGATGGCCATACTGCAGTCCCTTCTCCTCCATTCTCCTCTCGCGATCTTGGGCACGCACGCACATGCGTCTGGTGTGAGTTTAAGCCACCAGGTCTGGGACTCGCACCACAGTTGAATACATGGGAGTCCAGTGACACAGCCATTACGACAACTGCTGGTCCTGCATTTTTAATATTTTATATAGCATGTTCTGTTTCTATTTAATATTTATTTTCATCTGAAATTTTTTGTCTTTAGTCAATGTTCAGTTAGTATATTCAGTCATGTAGTTTAATTTATAAGACTTGAAAATGATGTGATATTTTCATAACAAAATGCATAAAAAGCCAAGTAGATAGAATGCTATGGAGGAAGTGTTTTCTTTAATATATACCCATGGCCATATAAAAGCAGAATATACTTTGATCTGGGACTCCCTTGCCCCATTGTTTATTTTAATTGTAAAGAAAATTTTAAGACTTTTTTTTTTTTTTAAACCAAGGCCAGTAATGATGTATATGTAATGGTTTCTCTTCTGTAAAAAGCTGTAAAGTTGTCACAAATAAAACTGAGCTTTTAGTACTTTTGATATAAGCATTTTAGGGCCAGCCCTATAGCCTAATGGTTAAGGGAGCCAAATCCCATATAGCCAACTGCAGTTTGAATTCCAGCTCTACAGGCTTGAGAAAAACCCTGAGTGTGTGTGCATGCTTGCTCAAAATCCTGACAAAAAGGAAACATGGATTAGGGTTGTGGCATGACCATGACCCATTGGGGATTGCTCCCCACATCCACACATGTCCATCCTTGTCTCTTTGACAAGCACACACACCCTCTGACAATTACCAAAAAAAAAAAAAAAAAGAAAGAAAGAAAGAAAGGAAAAAGGGGCCTATTCATTTGATTAAAAATAGTAAAGTTTTTTGAGCTATCAATGTAGTACTTCCTATTTCATGAGCAGATTTTGCATAATGACTGAACAAGGGCTAGGGTTTACTTTACAGCTAGTAAGTTAAGAATGTAACATTTTGGGGACCAGCAGTTGGCATAATGGCTATGTCACTGGAATTCCATGTAGTTGACTACAGTTCGAATTCCAGTCCTGGTTGCTTAAACTCACACCAGGTGTATGTGCATGCGTGCCCAAGATCCTGAGAGGAGAATGGAGGAGAAGGGATCGTGGCATGACCATCCTCTCAGTGGGGTTTCTCTTTCTCTCTTTCTGTTTCTCTTTCTCTCTCTCTCTTTCTGGTGAGTGCATGCATCCTATAGCAAAGACCTCTCAAAAAAAAAAAAAAAGACTATAACGTTTTGGAAAATTTTACATGGGATCTTGAAGATCCATTATTTAACCCCATTTAAAAAATGTGCTAATATTTTCACTTGAGTATGAGCTTTAATAAATGTTTGTTACCCCCTATAGAAATTTCCTCTAACATTTCTACCTTTCAAGTATAGCTGAGGGTTGACTTAAAAATTAACTTGCCATGGAGCCAGCAGGTGACGTGATGGTTAAGGTGCTGGATCCCATATAACTGATTCTGTGATTTGAGTCCTGGACCCAGCAGCTTGAAGAGCACCTCAGGCACTTGTGTGTGTGTGCCCAAAATCCTGAGAGGAGAATGGAGGAGAAGGGATTGTGGCTATTCCCCCTCAGGGGTGGTTGGTTACTTTCCCTCTCTCTCTGACTCTCTGGTGAGCACATATGCCCTATAACAAAAACCTGAAAAAAAAATTACTTGCCTTATCATTTGGAAGAAAAATTCGTAATCATAGCAGCCGTTGAGAGACCTGTTTTTGTTTGTCAGTTCCAGTCTTTTTTTTTTTTTTGAAGAGGTTTTTGCTGTAGGGCAAAACTGTCTGTCGCCAGAAAGACAGAGACAGAGAGACAGAAAGCGAGAAATCACTCCCCAGGGTGATGGCCACGCTGCAACCCCTGCTCCATTCTCCTCCCAGGATCTTGGGCAGGCACATACATGTACCCGGCATGAGTTTAAGTCACTGGGTCTGGGACTCGAACTGCTGTAGACTACATGGGAGTCCAGCGATATTGCCATTATGCCAACTGCTGGTCCCATCGTTCCAACCTTAAGTCATAAATTCTGTATTGGCAAAAGCCACTTGGTAGAAACTGTTTTCAAAATCAAGCTGAAATTTGTCCATGATTTTTACTCTTTTTTACCTATTGCTATCTTTACCAGTTTTATCCCTCTTGATCTTAATATCTTACTCCTTTGTTTTTTCAACCCCTTACTAAAAATTTTACCTCTGTGCTGAATTTGTACTTTGATTTCTTTCACAATCTTTAGGTTCTTTTCCTGGTAGCCCTCAAGAATTGGAATGCATTCTCTGAGGGAAAGGGTAGAAGTCTCTGTGAAGCCATAGAATTATGATGCATGGCACTGTAATGTGGATTAGAGAATGAAGGCCCGGAAGTGCTTGACCTCAGCTGCTGCTTCGCACTATTCCATGTACAGACACAATCTTTGCACACTCTTCTTCTCTTTGTATATTTAAGTTCGTTAGTTCGTTCTTTCTTTTTTCCTTCCTTCCTTCCTTCCTTCCTTCCTTCCTTCCTTCCTTCCTTTCTTTTTAACATCTAATCACTGTACATCTTCAAGTGTATAACCTGGTTTTTCCCAGCATGAACACAGTGCATATTAGTTGAAGTCATTACATTGTCATCAACAGATAACTTTTCATTTTTGTATCTATTGAATGTTTTGTCTGAAAGATTGGGAGGTATAATTGAAAGATTGGAAGGCCAACTGTAGATACTAGAGATAGTATGCGAAGGGGTGGGTTATTGAGTGGGAGGGAGGGGATCAGGGGAAAAACAAAGTCCTGTTCTTTTATGAATTCATAGCCTAGCTCAGACTTTTCTCTGTGAAACCTTTCCTAACAGTTTCCCACATTGATTCGTGTGCGTGTGATTTCTGTAGCATTCGTGGACATTTCCTTTTTGTTTTAAACTTGTGAGTGGTTTATCCCTATTTTTTTTTTTTTGGAGAGGTTTTTGCTATAGGGCACGTGTGCTTGCCAGAAAGAGAGAAACAGAGAGACAGAAGCGGGAAATCCCCTGGGGGGATGGCCACGCCGCAGTCCCTTCTCCATTCTCCTCTCGAGATCTTGGTCATGTATGCACATGCACCTGGCGTGAGTTTAAGCCACCAGGTCGGACTCGAACTGTGGTCAACAACATGGGAGTCCAGCGACCTAGTCGTTATGCCAACTACTGGTCCCGATCCCAAAATATCTTAAAAGCAAAGAAATCCTTTTATAGATTGCATTCTTCCCTCTTTTCCATGTGCATTTACTCTTGTACCTGGTAGCCTATTAGGTGGTTGATAAATAAGGAATATAGCACACACATCATTTTAAAATTCCCCTGCCAGTATTCTATTGCAGCAGGTCATATGTCAGTGGGAGACTTTGTAGTAGAGGCAATGTCTCCTGTGACTGTTGGAGATACTTGGCTGGCCAATTTTAGAAATCATGCTAAAGTTGAAGGTGTACTAAAAAGCACTGAGTTGATTTTTTTTTTTTTTCTGAGAGGTTTTGACCTCAGGGTGTGTGCACTCACTGGAGGGAGAAAGACAGTGAGAGGGAAAGTGATTAATTAACCCCCACCCCCCCCGGGGGGGGTGGACATACCACAGTCCTTTTTCCATCCTTCTCTTCTGTGGATCTTGGGCACGCATGCACATGTGCCTGGTGTGAATTTCAAGCAGCCAGGTCTGTGTCTCGAACGACTTTCAGCCATGTGGGAGTCTAGGAATGTAACTATGCCTTCTGCTGGTCATGAGATTTTTTTTGTAAAAAAGAATTACTTTATTTTACTTTGTTATTATTACTATTTTACAACGTGACCACAGAGAGACAGAGAGATAGGGAAAGTGAGAAAGTAAGCCAACAGGTCCAGGACTCAAACCATGGTGGCTATGTGGGAGTTTTGCACCTTTAACCCCTACACCCCTTGCTGTGCCCAAAGCACTGAGATTTGTAATGAATATTACGGAAGGAAATATTGAATGTATCAAAAAGGATAGCTAGAGCAGGAAAGGTAGGAGTATTGTAGAAAAATATGAAGAAAAATTAATTGACCTGATGGGTGTTGCTGGTTATAGAGACATCCATGAGCCTGTGACACTAGATCATTCTTTGGTTATAAAAGAAAAGCTACTTCCATTATTACCTATATTTTGTTGTCATTGGTCAGGGGGAATATATTTATACTGTGGCAGTCCATTAACCTTCATCACTTAAATAAAATATTTCTATTTTGGAAATTCTCTTCAGTAAGAAAAAAAGAGAGACTTTTCCTACTATTCCCCTCCTACCTAATAACTGCTTCATTTAGTTCTTGATCACTTTCTGCATTATGGAATTAAAAAAAAAATAATGAAACTGATTCTGTAGTCAGTAACCAGTTTCAATTCCTAAATGAGACTTGGAAAGGTACGATGCGTATCCCTCCTCCTGATTCAGGACCATTAACTACATCTCTCTGTGCCAAATGGTAGTTCTTCTGTGTTTATTATTTTTAAAAATCATTTCCAGTGGAATTGCTGTTATGAGTGGCTACAGTGTTGGTTTGTTTTCCCTGTCCTGAGTTTATGGTCTATATACACTTTACATTCCCATCCACCACATACTCATGATTTAGTCATCTATCTTGCTACTTGTCAGGAAATGTTTTTCTCAGAATAGCTTTTAGGACTGTGATGGCTATCTAGTAAAAAGAAATTTTTTAGGTTTTAAATATAGTTTCTTAGCTTTAATTTTAATACAGATTCTACCTGTATTATATATTATGAGGAAATTAAATTTTGTCTGTCACCTATTCCTTTTATTCTTTTCCTCAAAGTGGGTGGCCATGTTTATATTCTGCATAGCCTATTCATTGTTTTACTTAGCATCGAATAATTTTTCACAAAGGAAAATGTCCTTGAAATATTGGAAAACTCTTAGCATAATAGAAAAGTAGCACAATATAGGTAAAGTATGTAAAATTAGATTGCTTGGACATTCTGCAGGGACTCTTTGGGACTCTTTGGTTTCTTATGTGATTTAAGTTACTTAGCCAACCCCATTATCCAAGTACAATCATTTGGTGATTTCTACAGGTCATAAAATGGGTCATTTTATTTATAGAAAATGTCTACCAGGTTTTAATTTATAGATTATCAGATTTGGGGGTTAGGTTTAATGATTTATGAAAGATACTGCAATTTGAAGAAAAACACTACAGACCAAAGCCTAAAACAAATTAAAAGTTGGAAAGCTGTTTTCCAAATATTTTAACTATCCCATGTATAGAATAAAATATTCTTTTATTCTTTCTATTCCTGTTCCTTTTCCTTCCTGTTTCTAGCAAATTGATGTAGATAAGTGTCTGGTTCACTTCTCCCTCAAAGTAAATTTGGGTTTTATGTTATTTAAGGTTGAGCTTAAAGGACTTTGGTTATCACTTTTAAGATCTTCTGGTATCACTAATTAATATTTCCAGTTTTAAAGCTATTGGTTATTTGTCATATTACTCTTAAAATTTTCTCCTAATGTGGATTGATTTTTAAAAAAGTCTTCTGGCATATTAGTATACCCTCTGTTTATTAATGAGGGGGAGAGCAAGGATAAGTTAATCTTTATTCTTACTTGATAATTGGTTTGTTTTTTATTTATTGTTTAAAAGAAACAACAAAAGGATTACAGATAGATGCTTCACTTTAAAAATTCACATTTCAAAAGTATCATTTGTCATTAAAGATTGTTTTGACATCACACACAACTTGTTCACTGGGCTATTTATTTGAAGAATTTGTTTCTTGATATATTATTTCTTGCTTATTCAGATAACAAGTAGCTTTTTAAGACTTTTAAAATTTTGCCTAAGCCAGAGTTAATTTTGACAGCCTAAATACTCTGTATGCAGTTATGATTTGTGTTCTTAAATTTCATGTTTTGAAATTATAAATATAGTTTCATTTCAGTGGTGAAGTTTCATTGAATGCTAATGTTCCATTTCACAAGTAAAATTTGAATATTCTAAGCATATTCTTAATAGGAAAGTTGAGATTTTTTAAGTGTTTTTAAGATGGCAATCCAAAAATAGTAGAGCCTTAAAATAGAGTCAGGTATGAACCTATATGGTAAATGTTCACCCTAACCCATTGGTAGTTTCAAACAATTTGAGATTGCATTTGAACAGTATTTGTAAATAACTTCTCCAGACTCTCTAGGGTTTTCTGTTTAAGTGCTGAGGTTGACATATTCCTTTGGTGACATCCGTTACTCCCAAATTTTTCATCTTTCCTATACTTAAGTGTTTAGGTGCAGGTAGAATAGTGAGTAGAGTCATGCTCAACTTGGGCCTGAGTGGGTCCAATACCCCCTGGAACTAGGACATTGCCAGTGGCTCTTGTGCTGCTCACAGTTGAATGAGATACCTCAGCCCTAACTTTCTGGCTCAGGTGGTTAGGAACATGCATTAAATACCTAGTGTTTTCAGGTAGGTGATTCCCTCATAAGAGAACATTGAAGAAATCTGAATTGTAAGGCTAATTCACATTTATAAAAACTAAAATTTTCTGTCAAGCAATTTATATTATTTAGCTATAATGGACCATATGCATAGTTGCATATTTCTGTTTGGGAAATTACTTTGTTTATGACATACTTGCTATCTAAAGGAAGCTGTTTAAAACACAAGGAATTACATAAAGACATTGTTGCTACTGATTGAGTTACATGTTCTTAAAACTAACATTTTTATAATTACCAGATTTAATTTTAATTGAACAAAATATCAAATAGTCTATCCAGTGATCTGTTGGTGTGATGGCCTAATGGCAAATAAAGTCTTTGCCTTCAGTTTATAATCATTTGAAAAATCTCATGTTAGGAAGAGTCCTTTGAGTACAACTGTAGAATAAATAGTAGAGTAGAAATTGCATATGAAATGCATGGCCTCTAATTTTCCCCCCTCTATTTAAACCTTCCCCTCCTTTGTTAAATAGTACAGCATTATTTCCCAAAAGTGCCACTTCATTTCACTACATACCAGTTAAATTAAGTTTTCCTCAAAATTTTTTAGGTGAGTACCCAGAATATGAAGATGGGTGGGCTACCGCGTACAACACCTCCAACTCAGAAACCCCCCAGTCCACCTATGTCAGGGAAAGGGACACTTGGGTGAGTACATAACTAAATAATTGAAAATTATTTCATGTAGTGTTGTGTTAAAAACTAAAGGCAACATGTTTAAATTATTTTTGAATATTTTAAGGAATATTTTTTCCTAGGATTTTTGTATGTGTGTATATATTTTTCTCTTTTCATTTATACTTAAAAAATATTTTATTTAGAAATTAGGGGTTTTTAAAGAGTTTTTTGCTATAGGGCAAGTATGCTTGCTGGAGAGACAGAAATATAGAGATGAGAGACAGCAAGAAATCACCCCCCTGGGGGGATGGTCACACCACAATCCCTTCTCCATTTTCCACTCAGAGTTTTGGGCACATACACATATGCACTGGTGTCAGTTTTAGGCCACCAGGCCTGGGACTCAAAGTGTAGTCGACCATGTAGGAGTACAGTGCTTTAGCCACCTACCTGCTGGTCCCTAGAAATCAGTTTTTTTTTCTTTTTAAAGAAATTTTTGCTATAGGATATGTGTGCTTGTCAGAGAGATAGAAAGTGAGAAATCACCTTCGAGGTGATGGTCATACTGTAATCCCTTCTCCTCCATTCTCGTGGGATTTTGGGCATGCATGTACACGTGCCTGGTGTGAATTGCAAGCCACTAGGTCCAGGACTCGAACCATGGTTAGCCATGTGGGAGCCTAGCAGCTTAACCACTACATCATCTGCTGACCCTAGAAATTCATTTTTTAATAAAATTTTAATTTGAGATAAACTCTTAGCTCAAGTTGAAGATTTATTATAGATTGCAATCTAATATTTCTTTTTTCTCAGAAAAATTTTATTTTTGTCTTTTGTATTACAGTTGAATTTATACTGTCCTTCTCAAGAAGGCTATGTAGATTACAAAATTCTGTATAACTTGTTATGAGAATATTGACCTTTAGTTTGATCATATAAAATTGGGCTCTAGATTTTACTTTTGGCAAAAATGGTCTATTAGTGGAAAAGCTTGGTATTTTCTTCTGTAGCATCACAGTTTAAACATTGATATCTGATCAGTGATTCTGATCATTTGGACATAATACAGTTCAGATGACAGATGACTAAAATTCTGATCCAGCTAACCTTCTCATTTTGTGGTTTTGCATAGTCCACCTTTCAGCAATTTAGTTTTTTCATCTGTAAAAGGGGGTAATATTTGTTCTCTATTAACTTTTCAGGGACAGGGTATTACAAATTGGATTTTAAAAAAATACATAGGATAAAGACAAAATGCTCTGAGAACCATTGGCTTTATGATATGTATTACAAAGTTTTTAACTGACAATTTTTTGGCCCCCTCACCAAAAACAAAAACAAAACCAAATACCCACCCCAAAACAAACCAAAACCCAATCAAGTTGTGTGGATCAGAACACAACAAAAAATGAATTAGAATATAATGGGAAGATAATGTTGGTAGGAGAATTATAGTTAGGACAGTGGGAAACAAAAGAAAAAATGGATTTCAAGTAGGAATAGAAGACATGGCTTTATTTATGGCATACAAAAAGCTTCCTAAGTTAGAAGAAAGAATCTAAGTAGATCAAATAGCATTTAAAGTTTAAGGTAGAATATATATGACATAATATGGTATAACCGTGCAAGGAAGAAGGGTGGTGATATCAAGAGAAACTCTTTATAACTCTTGTAGATACGTGTGTTTCTGTCATGTGGTTGTGAAGAGCCTAATGTGTTTCGTTAGGTTTTCAGTTAAGATTGTCAGTAAGATAACCTACTTAATTTCTAGTAAAATAAATTTTCTGCTCTTAAATTTTGAAGGTGTGCTCATGTACAGGTATTTGTTTTCCTTGTGTGTTAGCAATGGTTCTGCAGGACCCCTGAAGACCATGGTTGCTGAACACTACTTCACTGCTCGATGGTCACGCCTGGTTTTTCTGCAGTCATTGCCTCATCAACATTTTTTGTCTTCCCCTGTTTTTTACCTTGTTGGTGTCATTGTAGTTCTCAGTTAGCTACACTTATTTTTCTCAGATGTAACAACATTGTTTCTTTGTGGTGTGTGTGTACACAAATGTGTGTGTGTAAGGCAGGGTCTCACTGTATTTGAACTTCATGCCTCAGCCTTCTGAGTAGCTGAGACTATGGCCGCACTAAAGAAACTAAAGCCAGACTGCTGTGTCTGGCTTTTTTAGGGTTTGAGAGTCAAACCCAGGCCTCAGCCTGCCCAAGCAACTGTGTCCAGCCTCCCACCTCGCCTGCCCGCCCCAAGTCTTTGAGAGAGACAGAGACAGAAACAGAGAGAGTGAGAAGAGGAGGAGGAAGAGGAAGGGTGAGAGACAAAGATAAGTTTTTTTTGAGAGGTTTTTCCCTAAAGGTGCGTGCGTTTGCCAGAAAGAGAGACACAGAGAAAGCGAGAAATCACCCCACAGAGGGGATGGTCACGCCGCAATCCGTTCTCCTCTCGGGATCTTGGACGCGCACACACAGGTGCCTGGTGTGAGTTTTAAGTCACCGGGTCTGGGACTCAAACCGCGGTTGACTACATGGGAGTCCAGCGACATAGCCATTACACTAACTGCTGGTCCTAAGATAAGTATTTTTTACAAGGTCTCACCATTTTATGATGTTCCTGACCTAGCCTTCTGGTTAGCTGGAATTACAGGTGCGTGCAGCCACACCCTGCAAGTTCAGATTGTCCTGGGAGCTGAACTTGGACCTCCATGCAGCTTTTAACCTCCCAGGCAGTGTATAGGACATTGGCTGCGGCATTTTCATTGTTTGGGGAAGCTGTCTGAAATTAGGTGTTTGGAAATTGTTTTTTTCCCCATTTGTGCTATAATTTCAGAGATGCCTAAATTTTTTTTAGTATTTTAAATATAAAAGTACTGCCATCCCTTTTCCTTTTTTTGATCCAGTATCTGATCCAGTACCCCTTAATTTATTTGTAATTATATTTATATGAGGAGACATTTTGAGTAGTAGGGGTTGTGGGAAAGTGATTCAGAATTAGGGAGGCATAACTTGAGTGGCCAGGGATAATAGTATTTAAAGGAACTCCAGGAGCTTTTGAGGAAGTAAATTATTGAGAAACACTAATATTAGGCAGTTGAGCAGTATCGTTTCAGGAAAAGAACAATTTAAAATGTTCACATCTTGAGATGCCAATTTTTTTATTCTTTTAAAGACCGTAATCTCATCTACATGATGTAAATTTTATGTCACTTGAGTCTGTTTTTTTTTTTTTTTTTTTTTCTATTGGGCGTGTGCGCTTGGACAGAGACAGAAAGTGAGAAATCACCCCCTGGCGGGGGATGGCCACGCTGCAATCCCTTCTCCTCCATTCTCCTCTCGGAATCTTGGGCACGCATGCACTCGTTCCTGGCATGAGTTTAAGCCACCGGGTCCAGGACTCGAACCGCGGTCGACTACATGGGAGTCTAGTGACATAGCCATTACACTAACTGCTCGTTCCATCACTTGAGTCTTCATGATTGTCACAAAGATCTTGGAAACAGTGATGAGAACTAATTTAATACTCACCAATATTACAGTGTACAACTTATTTCCAATCCTATTGACTTACTTTTCTCATCCTCTTCTTTTAAAAGGAAATTTTGGGGACAACCCTATAGCCTAGGGGAGCTGGGCCTTCTTACATTGCTGATAATTTGAATCCTGGCCCCTGTGGGATGAAAAACATGCTGGTGCGTGTGTTCCAACAGGATGGAGAACCAGAAGAGAAGGAATGGTGGCACAGCCACGCCCCTGTAGGCGAGCCTTTTCCCTCTCACTGTCTCTCTAGGGATAGGGTTAGGATTAGGGTCTCTGGTGAGTGCATGTGTCCTTTGGTAGTTAAAAAAATTGAAAGGAAATTTTGGGGAAAAGAGGTAAATATATGTTAATAAGTTATAGTTTGATTTATATTTTACAGTGTAAAGTAAATAAGGTAGATGGACATAAGTGGTCTTAAAATTTT